TTCAATATAGGAGCTGCACTTAACAGGGAAGTCCAACGAAAGAGAGCATCTCCAGTGCCTATAGGTACTTGCAATTCCAGTTGCTGAAGATTGCTTAATTCGGGGAATTTAGGGAACGGGAGGAACATTTCAATTACAAAATCCTGACAACCCAACAAAGTAAAGGGTGAAATTAGACACATTTATTAATCATCTCCATCATTGTAAATATAAAAAATAAATAAAAAACAAGCAAACTTACAAAGGGGACTTGATTAAATATGCTAACCCTAACAGGCATGTTGAAAGTGATCTTCTCTAGCTGAGAGAGAGAGCTCAAGAGTGACCGGCGAACTTCATTCTGATCACAAAGAAAAGATTCACAATAACCTCCCTCAAAAGAAACCTCAACAAGATTAGGAACATGTTCAAGAAGCATATTCAAATGCCCTCCACTGTATTTAAGTGACACAAGATTTGCCGCATGAACCTCAAGATTTCTCAAGTTGCTGCAGGAATATATCTCTAAGTACTTCAATTTAAGTGACGGACCAGAAACTTTGAGATTTCCAAGACTTGAGGACTTAGCCAAACACAACCTTTCAAGAGATGGACAATTAGACAAGAGGTGTTCAACTACTTCTGCAGTCACTTCTACGTCTCTCAAAGACAGAGATGTTAAGGAACTAAAGCTGCAAGAACCGAGAAATCGCGATGGAAAAATATAATGCTCAGCTGGAGGGAATTGCCAATTGGGTTTAAAGTCCAACTCAAGCCTTTGAACTCTTTTTTCCATTGCAAATTTGATCCAACTATCAATATAAGTCCTAGAAGTTGTACCATTCAAAGAAAAGCAAAATTTGAATTCCTTTATGGTTGGACCTTGATGGGTTTTCAAGACTTGATTCACCCAACTCACGTACTTAGACCTTTCGATTGCAAGTAAACTAGTTTCAAAATGCACGTCCCCTGACACTTGTGAACCATCAAAATCCAAACTACCACTGCTAAATCTCCACAGATCTTTCCATCTACGCGAAAGGACACTAGTTTTTGCAGCTTCTTTCAATGTCAATAGAGACAACATCTTTATAAGAATTTCATCTGGTAATATGCTAATCCAATCCTGCAAATACAAGTTTTTCTTTTCACATGAATCATTGGGAACAAACAAAGTAAACAAAAGTGTCACGTACTCAAAGCTAGGAAGAACAAACACTTATCCTGATTTACCGTGGCGGTATCATACACTTGGACACATTTGAACACTTTCAAAAGATGAGGTTGTTTTGTAATTATTATTATTATTATTTCGAAGAATAAGATTCAATGCAATTTAATATATATTATGAGTTAATTAGAAAAATAATATAAAATTTGAGAAAACAAAATCAACAAACATCTAGTCTAGGGAGACTAGGAGGGGCCATGACCCCCCAATTTTTAATTTTTTTTTTGAAAAATCTTGTTTGTAGGTCTCTTAATAATTATTAATGTTGAGTTTTAAAAAATTACATGTGACTCTTCAAAAATTCATTAAAACCTTCTATTCTTGCTTTACAAAATTCAAATCTAGTGAAAGAAATGAAAACACTCAAAAATCCAAATGCCTCTAAATAATTCTATGATAGTGACAGTTCTTACTACAACATATCAATGCTACATTCAAATATATATATATATAATACCTATTATCCATACGAATTCGAGAGAGGAAAAAGGGATGTTCAAACATGACAGTCTCATTTATCAGGTGAAAGTATGCTCTCTCTCTCTCTTTTCATTGTCTTTCCATATTAGTTTCTTCCTCTTATTTATTTAAGTTGTTTTATCCTAATTTTTAGGTTATAAGGAAAAAGTTATTTATGTGAGTGCTCTCACTAGGCTACTTTGACCATTGAGTTGCGAGGTTAGTCTCTCAAGTGAAAGTGTCCTACTGATAGACACCCTCATAATAATATACCCGCCATGCCGAGGAAAAAAAAACCAATTAGCATAATCTGAAAAATAAAGCCATTAATTTGTGTAGGTGCATTAATTTATTATATTTTGTGGAAGAGAAGAACTGATTCAATTAGCATAATCTGAAAAGTTAAATTAAAGGGCTTATCGTGAGTATGTTCTAAGACATAATGTACCCAAAATTGGGTTGATTGAATTTTTAAATTTTCAAAATTTTGGTGCTACCCATCAATTTTCTTTTAAAAGTGCTGACACAAACCTGGTTTAAGAAAAGATAGGAGTTGGTTTGGGATGAGATCATTATATTGAATTTATTAATGATTTGTGTGAATAAAATTTCTTCTTCACCGATGAAGTGAACCATGTCGGTATCTATTTTCAAAAGTTTCAACTTGGACATAAAATACATAAATTATACTCCTTAGATAAACACATATACATACACAATCACAATCAGATATACAAGCGCGCCTATATGAAAGCATGACTTACCTTGTATTCTGCGTATGTATTAGAAGATGAAGGTTTTGCCTTTTTCGCCATTGATGTTGGTTTTTGATCTTTTAATCTGCTATTCCCTTTCGCTGCTTTATATATATATATATATATATATATATATATATATATATAAAATTTAAAAGTAGAAAAAAAAAAAGTAGAAAATCTTACTCCAATAAAGAAACGGGGAGAGAGAGAGAGAGAGAGAGCGCCCCGTTCAGGTCTATATATATGTACACAGTATTGAGCGCCCCGTTCAGGTCTATGTATATATGTACACAGTATTACACCCACTGTAATAGTGAATATATATATAGAACAAGGATATACAGTGGTTTATCATGGGCCTCCGGGAAGCTAAGGCCGTTAGTAAATGGGCCATTGATACATGTATTCCATATTAATATTCAATCCATACGAAATAAACTCATTCTGGATCGTATATTGGGTTTTGTTTAAAACCCAAATCAATTTTGTTGTGTTCACGTATAACCCAACCCGTGTATGCTTACTGCTCTTCCCTAGAACATTCATATCGGATCCATTTTGCAATTTGATTCAAAGGTAAAGTCGACTTCTAGATTGGATATGCCGGGCGCAAATTCTCTACAGTGCACTTCCCATGCAGTTTCTTACTGTGAGTAATTAGTGGCCTTGGTTTGGCCACGTTTTACTCCACTTAATGGACACTAAAAGTAATATCACATAGTCTAAAAAGTAACATCACCACCATTTCCTAAGTAATGTTACATACAAACGTAACTGAATTCACCACCATTTATAAGTAACATTTCACCACCATTTATAAGTATCTTCATCCTTAAATTAAGGTATGAACATAAATGGTGATGTTACTTTTAAACTCCCGTGATGTTACTTTTTAGATCATGTGATGTTACTTATACATGGTGGTGAAATGTTACTTATAAATAGTGGTGAAATTGCCAAACACGGTCTCAATTGTCGAATAGTGGTGAATGACGTGGCCAAACAAAAACCACATAAAAACTTATAGCAGGAGACAGCATGAAAATCTACAGCAGAGGATTTGCGCCCTGGATATGCCTGCTTACATGGAAGGTTGGTTCGGTTTTCGGTCTACTTCAAAATTTTAATTATGAATAATTTTATTTTATAATTCTTTGAAAATAATTTTTTACTTTTAAACTTTTGAAAATTATTTAAAAAATTTGAACCTAAGACTCTTTGATTAAAACCTGATAAAGAGGCTCGAACTTATGTATCGAGTCTGGCTAGATTTGAGTTGGTCACTTGGGCAAAAACCTTAAAAAGAACGAAACAGATTGAAAAAAGGAGAAAATCTATATTTATAATCTAAACATTATGAGAAATATTTTAACGATCTAAATACAACTTAGTATATAAAAAATAAAAAATAAACAAAAGTCATGATACACAATTAATATTTTGATATTAATAGTAATATTCACCAAAAAATAATAAAAACGTTCAAAACACAAAGTCAGGTTGTCTAATAACTTTTTCCGAACCTAATGGAATTTCGGTCAGTTGAAGGAGTAAGGATCCTCTTTAGCATTTGAGAGTCACGTCCAACAACATGGACAGAGATTGTCCTCCATCAAGGACGGAGATTGAACTACTCCCAAGTGTCACCTATGATGGTCCACTCTTATTATCACTTGATGATGCAATTTCCACTCTCGGTGGAGCACAAAACCCTCACGAGCGCAGGAGAGGATTCAAATCCCAATTGAGAACCTAAGTCCTTCCAAAAGATCGTTTATCTGATTCACCATGAAACACATGCATGCCATCATTAAACAGTGTTCAATCATAATCATGCTGATAATACACTACATCAGAGACAAGTTGTCTGGACAATAAACATTTGCTGAGTATAGATTATAAGTGCTTGATAGTTACAGTGGGAGGTTTATGTAGATTATTACATTGTCAAAGTGCTATTGACTTTAGCCAGTAATCAATATATTTCACAAATTTTAAACAATGTCACCAATATAAACAATTAACAGTGAAGATAACACAAATTATATTATATGTATTTCCTACGAAAACAAAAGTGGAAAGAATGGTATTACAAACTAATCTGCACAAGCAAGTCCAATTTGAGTGTCTTAAGCTGTGAGAGAACTTAAAAGCAGGTTAAAAAGTCTACTCGTCCAAATGTGCAGTTAGACTACTAGTGCAACTTGCATTCAAAAACTCGATGGTAAGACACTTGTGAGATAACTTGAAGAGCAGGTAAATGTCATGGGTGGTTTGACAACAAGTGTTCAAATACACACAGAGAGAGGAAGTGTTCAAGAGAAATCAAGAAAAAATCGAATAGTCTGCCCAATAAGGAAGTTCAAATTATGAACATAGAAGATAATATTGATTGGTGGAAATGGTGATTATGAGTTTGTTTATGATTATCAACTGTTTAAGTTAGTAATAAAGCTTAAGAAAAGAGGCTTTCCAAACAACAATTATAGTAAAGCTGAAAGAGTAGTGTGCTATTGGAAATTCTAGATCACAAACAATTAAAAAATTAGTGAATGATATTTAATCACATCATATGGCTCAAATTTCTTAACCCTGTTGCTGGTCATTTCTAATAGTTGATCGTGCAATTGTCATCATCATCATTCTTGCCTTAATCCCATATGAATGGACAATTGGTGCATACAAACAATAAATCACGACCTTCTTGGAATTTCATAAAGTACAAACTGCTTTAAGATTTCACACACACAATCTGCAGGAACCACCATAAGATCAACAAAACCAGCAGAAGTAAAAGGAGATGCAAACACCACAAGTTACTGAGATGCAGCTTCGTCTTTCTTCTGCGTCAAGTACCTATCATAAGTAGGAAAGGATATTAAAACTAATGGAAAGTGCAGTATTTACAAACTATGCATCTATTATCCTTTTTAGGGTACTTAAAACAATGGGTAGGGATTATCCTAAAGGGCCAATATCGTGCTCTAGATATAAATACAAAAGTCTTAATTTAAATGATAACTTTCAAATACGAAAAATCATTTGAAACAAAGTCGGTGTTCTCACACGGTCATGCATGCATGTTTCAGGTTATATTTAGCGGCACTTGTTGATTTAGCAGAGCATGAACGATCAGCAAATGATACTGTTTAGTTTTATATATATATATATATATAATAAGAAGCAAAAAAATTTCTTTCGCATTTTTTTTTTTTTTTTGCATCCATTGTCTTATTTTTATTTATTGGTATACCCTTCCGTAGAGTGCCACTTCATGCTAATAATAACAAAGGTTCGGTCTATATTCCCAATATCACTCTTTTATCACACCACATAGGCAGAAGCCGCGGGACCAACACTAGGTAATAGGTTTTTTTTTTTTTTTTGTCCTCCCCAATCCAACAACTCTCTTTTCAATAATCAGGACAGGTAGATCAGAACAAGTCAAATTCCATGCTTAGTGAGCCAGGCAAACCTTTTTAGTTAGTACAACCATTGGATCGTTCATAGTCAGTTTTGCAGTCATACAAGGGCATCATATTGCTCATATAATATATAATGTGAAACTGAAGCTTAGTTTGGAGTTTCGATTCGGGTCTGCCACGGGGTCAGGGGAGGAAGGAGGCATATACAGAAGGATGACCCATAGTGTGAAGTGAAATAGGCAGGGAGAACCATGTATAACTGAATTTAAGCATTTAACATCATTAAGTACTTACCCCTGGCTCTTAGCCCAGCGAGAAAGTTGATAGAGCTGCACCGACTCATTTGAGACATGACAGACTAGAAGTAGATAGTTGCGAGGCTGTACCATCCATGCAAACCTCATGAACAATGCTGAGTATATGCACATTACTACAGAATCATATAAAAACTATATTTAGAATCCCAAGAATAACCGCAAATAATCTACGTCATTTCAATCATAAATTTTTATCCTCGCATAGCCACAACAGAATAATAAAGAAATAAAATAACAGTTTTAACCTCCAGTCATGTTGCCAGATATCATTTCCGGGGGTTTCTGTGTATCTACCAATCCCTGCCAAATCCACCAATAATAACTTAAAACAGAAAAATGAGCCACAGATTGCCCAATTAAGATTTCATAAGCTCTGAAGTGAATTGTTATGCTACATGAAAATATCATAATTCTATAGTAGGGATGCATACAGCAGCGACAAATCCCCAGTTAGCGATAGGACCCCAAAAATGAGTTGTTTTGGGGCCAACTGGACTGTTCAAGAATGATCGGAAGGCCATATGTGATACTGCTGCTCAGATACCTCTGCAATGACTATAAACATGAAGTCAGACCCTTGAAAGCAAAGAAATATGGAAATGTACAAAAGTAGAAAAGCTAGATAATAAACAAACACAAGAACAAACACAGACGAACATCTTGAAATGAAGATTAAAACTTAACAATTAAAAAAGGTATAACATGCTTTTACAAATGTCACAGAAATACAGGGTGTCAAGTGTTGGGGTTGAGTGTGTCCTTCAAGCCAATTTATGATTGTATTTGACAGTATATTTACTTATTTTGATAAGTGAGATTGTATTAGAAAGCATTCAAACGGGGAACGCATCCCGCAAAGCAACACAAGGGCCACATGGGGCCACTAAACACTCAAACTGTCCAAAAAAAATCTACTACCTCCCCCATGGATTTACAGTTTTTCCCCAAAACCCAACAAAAAGGAGAAGAAGAGAGAATATCAGCTCCCCGATAGGAGACTCCTTACCATCAAAGGATCTCCTATTCCATTACTTCCACAAGCACCACCAAACACACAAGGTGCCACCCTCCAAAAATCCTGGGCTTGGAAACCCACTATACCAGCCTCTCCAAACCTCAATCATGCCTCTCAAAGAACAAGGCATAACCCAATAAACATCGAACAGGCCCAAAAGCAAACCCAGCTGTCCCAGGCCACCAGGCAATGCAACAAAAGATGATCAACCAACTCCTTATCCCTCTTACACACACAACACCAGTTGACAACAACCTGTCTCCTCCTCCTCAGGTTATCCAGCGTCATAATCCTTCCTAAATCTATCATCCACGTAAAGAAGACCACCTTAAGAGAGGAATTTGTACGCCAAACTGCCTTCCAAGGGAAAGAAGGCCCCGACCCATCCGAAAGGCATCTATAGAGAGAGTGAATGTCAAATTTCCTGGGGAAGTAGGGGTGGCAATTCGTGGTCATGGGTCATAATCATGTCGTGTCAACTTATGAGTATTCTCCTAAATAAGTCAATCCGAACACGACCTCTTTATTAAACAGGTTACACCGCTAACCTATATAACCCTTTTATTTTAAATGAGTCATGTTACCCGTTTATTTTAAGTATAAATAATAAAAACACAATGAAAATTTTGAGATAATAGAAAACAAAATTTGAGAATAATTTGGACAATAGAATTACAAAAAAGTCTAATGCAATAGCCATATTGAATTTATATGGAAATAATAGAAATGTTCATGGTAATTGAGTTAAAACAGGTTACGGTTTATATGGCAGCCATGAAGTTCAAACAACTGGTGGAGAGAAAGATGCTTTCTTGATCCGTCCGCACATGCTTCCTTATTTCTCTTAACAGGTCACACGGTGAACCATAGCACAATTCCCGTACCCCAAAGCGATGAAGCGGTCGGGTTTGTCAGGAATAGTAATCAAGTTGACTTGACACGATTAATTATATGGGTCTAATTGAGTTAAACGGGTTAAGGTCCAAAACACAAACGCGAACACGATAAATTAAATGGATCTAATCGGGTTGACACGATTATGACAAAAACACAATTAAGGTCAACCCAAACCTTTTAGCTTCATATCGTGTTTGAGTCGTGTTGACGGATCGTGTCGAATTTTGCCACCCTTTGCCACCCTTACTGGGAAGAGGGGACCCAAACTCTGCAATCCCGACTCGTCACCCACCACCTGCTGACTATACACAAATTCCAAGAGCCCCAAGGCATCCTCCAACTCCCAATCCTGGAAATGTTAAGAGAACCGCACATCCCAAGTCGTCCTATTGCTATCAAGCCGATAGTAGTTGATAACCCATGGCTCGTCTATCCCGGGCTACCCGAAAAAGATTGGGAAAGGTGCATGCCAAAGAGTAGTCACTACACCAAACATCCTCCCAAAAACGAATTTATTATTTCTAGCTTACATGCTTTACATACATATATGGTAAATGCTTTGTATTGGTTGACTCTAGAGTTGAGTTAATATTGTCGATTGATTTTGTAATATAATTTGTGCATCTAAAAGAGATGTGCATAGGATATATAAATCACATAAATTACATCTTCATAAATTAATTTGCATTCATGATAGAATTGGACACTCTATCTGTAAGAATGTAACATGTAGGTTTCTACTTGTAGAATGACTTTTATTTATTTTTATTTTTTTTATTTTTTTTTTGACAAGTAAAATTGTATAAAAATTAAAAACGCTCAACTTATCTCAGTCATTATGAATAGAAGAACCGTACATGCTGATGTGTACGACACATTTAACAGGATCAAGAAGGAGTTGTAGAAATTATGATAACCGTCATAGTAAAAGTCTCTAAATAATCAACCCCATAAGTCTGCTCATACCCTTTGACAACCAAACGCGCCTTAAAACACTTAACAAAACCATCAGGAAGATACTTAACAGTGTAAACCCAACGACAACCAACAATTTGTTTCCCAAAAGGAAGAACAGTAAGCTACTAAGTCTGATTCTTATGAAGAGCACACTCATTTCCTCATCCATAGCATGTTTCCATCCAGACATAGATAAAGCATGTTCATAAGACGAGGGAACAAAGATAGAGGACAAGGTAAAAGCAAAAGACTGCAAGAAGGTGGAAACACAATCATAAGATACAAAATTAGCAATGGGATGTTTAGTACAAGTACGTTTACCTCAACGTAATGCAAGTGGTAAATCATCCGCAGCAGAAGTGGAAGATGGAGGAACAAGAACCTCTAGTTGAGAAGATGACGCAAGTGGTAAATCATCAGTAGCAGAAGTGGAAGATGGAGGAATAAGAACCTCTAGTTAAGAAAATGTCGTGTCCGGACTATAAAAAACAACGGGACGAGATCGAGATTGTTGATAAACCTGCAAAGGAGGATTAGAATGTGGATTCAATCGCATTGGAAGGATAGGAGAAGATAAGGAAGACCACCCCTCACGAGTAGATATGAGATCTAGTAACAAATGCTCACCAGATGATGAAAAGGAAGCATGGGATATTCACTAAAGTAGAGGGCATACTGTTAATGAGATAACAAGTAGTAAGACCCGCATTAGCGGTCAACCCAAAAATGTTTTGGCACTTTCATATTGAATAACAAAGTACGAGCAACATCCAACAGATGGCGATGGTTTCGCTTAACAACACCATTCTGTTGAGAAGTGTGGGCACAACTAGTCTGATGAATAATACCACGATCAACACAAAAGGAAATCATGATAGAATGTGTATTAAGGCATTATAAGATCGAAAATTTTTAATACGCTTACCCAAGTGAGTAAGCATTTTGTGATATTGTGGCCTGATTTTGGTGTCGGGTCGCGTTGCGACCCGCTTGGCAAATTTTTTGACCCGTTTTTTGCTCATGGGTCGTAGACCCTAATTAGTCTCTTGTAGCCCAACATATAAGAGCGCTTGGGGTTTGGAGTGGTGAAAGAGAGAGACTCTAAAATTCATACAGAAACAAAGCGATGGGTTGAAAACTTGTAATCTTCGATTTGATACATAGTGAAAACTTTCGCTAGATCCCAACCATGACGTAGGCTGTTGCCGAACCACATATAAATATTTATGTTCTTTGTGTGGCGTGTTTACTTTTCTGTCGTTATTCTCGATTCAACTTGGATTCGTTGCGTTTGTCATAACACATCTCATTGTAAAATTTAGCAACAGTACGAGGTAACTCAAATCTCTCTTTCGTAAAAAATAACCATGTCATTCAAGAAAAATCATCAACAAAGATACCAAATAAAGGAATCCGTTCAAACTGTCAGTTCTAGAAGGACCCAGATGTTCGTGTGGACTAAATCAATGGACTCAACCAAACGTCTATGACTACGACGCGGGAAAGAACTACAATAATGCTTACCCAACTGACAAGCTTCACACAACTACAATAATGCTTACCCAACTGACAAGCTTCACACTCTATAATAAAGATATGACTCACCGTAGGAATAGCTAATCGTAACTTTGCTAAAGATGGATGACCCAAACGAAGGTTCCACTAAAGAAGAGAGACTGTAGCACTTAATTCTGATGACAAGACAAGCCGAGATCTACCATAATCCAGCTAATATAACCCGTCTTTCTCATGTCCCGAACCAATCACCTTGTTTGTCCTAAGGTCTTGAAAGACACATGAAGTGGGAGAATAAGTTATGGAATAGTTTAATATTTTAGTCAATTGACTTACACAAAGCAAATTAAAAGAAAAATTAGGAACATAGAGACCGGAAGATAGTGATAACGAATTGAAAGGGTGAAGGACACCTTTTCCAAGGACGGGTCAAGAAGAACCATCAGCTAAAACAATGTGATGATTAATAGGATTTAAATAAGAGAAAAGAGATGATGTACCTGACATATGTGAGCTACCTCCAGAGTAAATGACCGAGGATAGAGAGGATTTAGCCACATATGCAATATTACCTGTATTAGCCAAGGTAGCAGTGGTAGCAGTGGAAGTGGATGGAAGAGTAGTTTGCAAAGTCTGAATAAGGCTACTAAGTTGAGTAATGAGTGAAACACGAGAACTAGAATCAGAAGCTACATGTCCCGAAACACAAGGCTGCAGTGATTGAGACTTCCTGTTATGTTGTCTACTAGGAATGCCACCACCACGAAAAACACGATAACCAGCCCGAAAATAAGATTGTGGTTTATTTTCAGCCATGAACAAAATTTGGATAAAAAAAGGGGATAAACAAGAATTCCAAAGCCAAAAAAATTGCAGGTCCAAGTGCAAATTGTGACAATTTAGGCCCAGTATGTCGTGAACAATTGTGAACAGGATTGAAAACAAACTGCCTTAGCAAAAGTACTGGTCCAGATTCAAATCAAAAGCCAACAATGAAGCTGAATTGAAATTCCAATGAAAAATCTCAGAAGCAAGAAAAACAGCGTAGATTCGATTTTGGAACCACGGAAGACCTATTCAACTGACCTTTAGAGCAACATAAATTGTTCCATATTCAATACATAATCCAAGAATCAACAACTAGAGCCTTTCCCAGTCCAAACACATCAAATGAGATGAAGCTTCACATGAACAGTGCTGAAAAAACAAAAAAAAAACATCCGGTGGCAGTCTAGATTTGCTAAAAATCTATGCAACACCTTGAATCTTGCAACCAAGTTTTATACAATGTTCCAAATAGCCAAGACGCATCCCTCTGTGTTGGATTGAAGCAAATGAAGCAACCAAAACATATCGACAAAAAATTGTCCGAAATCCAGGAAAAATTTCAAAAAATGGAAAGTCAACTCTCATAATGGAGAACAAACACCACCATAATTATCAGAAAATTCAGGCAAGCCACCCCATATGGTTCTCAACCTGTAAATGCTGACAGCATCTGGACTTTGACTATCAACGTGCTGATTTACTGAAACTTTCTCTGGACGTGTTCCTGGATCCATAGTCTGGCTCTAATACCAAGTTAAAGTGAATAATAGTGGGTTTTAGGGTTAGGGAGGAGAAGGAAAAGAAGAAGAAGAAGAAGAAGAAGAAGAGAAGAGGACAAGAAGAAAGGAGAATCTGATGTGTGTTTTAGGTTCTACACACCACCTCTCCTACTTATATTAAATAAGCAAAATTACACTAATGTCCTTAATAATAAAAAATAAACTCTAACAGTGTTATAACAAGTTCCTCTTAAGTTTGAGAGAGTAATGAACTTTTGTCTTGATTAGTGGTTATTTTGATTTGTTTTAATGAGCCCTAGGGTCTAAAATCTAGGTATTTTAGGTAATCATTAATTATAGACATTGAAACATGCATTCTCAAGATTGGATCTATGATTGACTTGATTAAGTTTGATTAAAAAAAAAATAATAATAATAAAATAATAAAAAAAAAATTGGACGTACTGATTTTGATTAAATGTTTTATTATATATTAATTTATTAAATATATTATTTTTAAAAATAAATATTTTATGTGATCATATGGTATTAATCAAGAAGACAATAATAAAGGATAAATAAGTAATTGGACAGATGGTTTTACATATCTAATAGCTAATTTTGAATAGAGGGGTAATCTTGTAATTTAACACAATGAGCCTTTATTTATTCATTATTTGGAGTGCATGTAATTTAAAAGTTGATGGCTAATTAATTGAGTCATGGGGTTGGCTAGTCTTTTAAGAGGCCCATTGGAAGCCAAGTATTGAATAGGCCCATCTAAATCCCACTCCCAGCCTATCTTGGAAAGCAAGCAAGGTAGTTGGATGAGAATGGGAGAGAGCAAGAGAAGAAGAGGGGTGGCGCACCTCTCTCCTCACTCTATATATGTGTATTGTGGTCTTGTATACTTGCACTCAATAACATATGTAAGACCTAGCCTTTTTACAACACGACATATTTCCTCTCCAAGTATCTCAACTATCCTCTGGAGCTCACTCTTCTATAACTTGTGAATTCCATTCAAGGTCATAGGAGTGAAGATTTGGGGTTGAAGAAGCCACTAAAGGTTAGCCCACAGATTTGAGAAGAAGCTATTGAAGAGGATCCTCAAAGCTTGGTGTTGGAGAGGAAGAGTTTAAAGATTTTAACGAATTTCTTATAGTTGGCAATCTACAAGTTGCCTAAAGGTGATGAATTATTCTCTCTCTCTCTTAGATTGATTCACAAGAACTAATGGGGATAGAATTTTTCTTCTACTATGTAGACCCGGTTTTCCGACATCAAAAGCTAAATCCACAGAGAAAACATGTCATATTAGATAAAAAATGTACAAGCGTCAGCTGTTGCACTGCTTGATCAAATTAAACTTTTCTGAAATAATGCCTAAAATGTAACATGAATGATGTCCTGTAAAACAATACCAGACAAGGAAATAACAATCTCTTCTTTACGGAAAAAAGACAAACAAATAACAAATAATTAATAATTTTGATGCCCGTTTTACAAACAACTCAATAAAACCCAGTAAAAATAAAAGGAAATTTGTTTTTTATATTTTCTTTTCTTCTCTCTCTCGCCTCTTCAGGGTTGATGGAATATACTGCTCAAGTTAACAGCAAATACTTCTTCCTTACTGTTATTAATAGACCAAAGACATGCCCTAAAATTTTATTATTAGATGAAGAAACTCTCACATAGAACACACGTTAAAAAATGCAGACCATTTTTAAGATGTTTAAGACCATGAAATGAGGTAGACACAATAGCCCAATAAATTAGAAACTGAACATATTAATCAATATAGGGGAATGCCTCACTCTCCGAAAACCCGAAACAGAACAAAAGAGGATGCTGGTGGGCCCATCACAGTGATGTGGTGGGACCCACCAGCCCCTTCTCATGTTATTAATAAACAAAAGGCATGCCCTAAAATTTAATTATTAGATGAAGAAAAGTTCACATAGAACACACGTTAAAAAATGCAGACCATTTTAAAGATGTTTAAGGCCATGTTTAAGTTTTACACGAAATGAGGTTGACACAATAGCCCAATAAATTAGAAACTGAACATATTAATCAATATAGGGGAATGCCTTACTCTCCAAAAATCTGAAACCGAACAAAATATGGTGCTGGTGGCCCCATCACAGTGATGCGGTTAGATCCACCAGCCCCTTCTCATGTTCGGTTTTGGATTTTCGGAGAGCCTATCACAGCTCATCTATATATTTAGATAATGAATTTATTAATTTTGAATTCCCTCTGGAGCATCATGAAAATGCATAATTGCATATCAGGTAGCATGATGGCATAACACCTTGGGATTGACATTTCAACCAAGGATACCAAATTGGCAGTTTTTAAACTCTTAGTGCAGATAGTCTGTTGAATTCTCAACACAAACTTAACTGCCACTTAAAGTAATATTCATTTATAGCATCCCCTTTTTCCAAATGAATTTCTTCTTTTTTAAAAAAAAGAAAAAAGAAAATCAAATCATATCAGCGAAGAAAGACATTAACAAACAAACAAAAAAAACAATGGAATGAGCTGAATGACCGATACAACTTCGTACTTTGACACAAAGCATCAGACATACTCAATCTTAATAACTGATTCTTTAACCACTACGGAAATCAAACAAACTCAGTATGGAAAATGAGATATTGGCATAAAAATGTGGCATGCATATTTAATATGTGATGGAACATACTTTTAACAAAGTATTTCCACTGGCACACATCCGCTAAACACAAAAGAAAAAAAAGAAAAAAAAAATGCCAAACAAATTGTATAAAGTCAAATCCATCTACAAAAAATTTAATCATTTATTGTTCCTCCATTTACACCATAGGAAAGCTGTCAAATAAAAAATAAAAGGCAAAAGCCCAATTTGTTGACTAGGAATTCACAATATATAGAAATAAATACACTCAATCAAATTGTTACATCACCATTGTTGACTCAAAAAAATCAACTTGTTACATCAATATATATATAAAATCAAACATTTCAGTAAGAACTTACTTTTACTTTGCATCACTAAGCAAAAAAATGAAAGCAAAATTACCAATTCAAAAGGAAAAAAAAAAAAAAAGCGTTTTGAAGAACACTAATCGGTCCCCAAGTAGCAAGGACTAAAATCTCAGAAAAGAGCACCGGACGATTTTATTGTAAAAATTAATACAGATCAAGTTAGAATTCACATACGTTTCTCACCTAATTTAGCACTAATTTATTACTCACTTCATGAATTTCATTTGTTAATTCTAATTCCAACTCATAACAGTACCAACAACAGCAGCAAAATTAGTCAAATCACATAGTAGTCCATTAAACAATCAACGTGCGTATATATGCGTGTATTTGTATGAATTTGTATATGAATAACATATCTTTATAAAAGGTCTTACCTTTGATCGGAGATCTGTGGCCGGGGAAGATAGGACGATGACTGGATTTATGCTTAGACAGGCCCTAAATCGACTGTTTATAGTCGCGGCAAAGAGGAAGAGGAGTCGTTGGGTCTGAGAGAGAGGAGGGATGATTAGGTACGGTTGAGACCATGGGAGATAGCTGCCTTTGACACTCACTGCTTACGTGGCAAGACTTATATCCAATAGTTTAAGACCATTCAGATCTTACTCCCGTCAAATCACGAGAATTTGTAAATACTAAATGCACGGGATCCCTCTCAAATAACGAGAAATTTTTAAATGTTGCAGATGTATCACGTAAGTATTAATTATGAAAAATAATATGATTGACAATTACCACGATAAAAATAGACTTATATCAAAATATGACGGCAATTAACTTAAAATTTTAACTCAAATATAATTATTTTAATAACATAATAATCCTAAAATTCTTCCAATTTAAATATAATTATTTTCATAATTCAATTATTTTAAAATTTCATCTCATGCATAATTTCTTTTGATCTTTTTTTCTTTTCTGTATTTAGAACAATAGAAAAACAAAGTCTTTATATATATATATATATATATATATATATATATATATATATATATATATTTTCATTTTTTCAAATTGGGTTCGCATATCTGAATGTATTGGAATGCTTTTATAAGATATCTATAAAAAATATTATTTCTACAAAATATAGAGGAGCAAAATTTCATATAATTTTTTGAAAATTAAAACGAATCGATGATTGAAGAACTTAAATTCTTAGTTTATTGATTTGTTTGTGTTTTCTTTCGTTATTATTTTGTTAAATTTTTAATTGTTACTTTTTTTGGGTGTTATTTTTATTTTTTATTTTTTTTCTTTTTGGTTAGTAAATAAAGTTGTTTTTGTTGATTTATTTTAAAGAGTGGTTTTTCGGAAGGCATCTTATATTTTGATTTTAAATGATCTATTTTTTTTTTTTTTTCTGTCACTTGAAATCGGTTTTGTATTTATCAGGCCAAATAGTACAACTCGTAGAATTACACGTAGTGTCCCAAAATTTATCAAAATATAAAGTACAATAAAAATGAATCAGAACCGATTTAATGCGATCACCAGGAAAGAATTGTTACATCCTACTGAAGTATTTGCAACGAGGAGAGAATTGTTATTTCCAACGTAATGGGAAGTTTTAATTGGCCAACTACTACTGTATATAATAAGTATTCCAGACTCAAGAGCATTGAAATTTTTTCCCATGATTAGAGGCTAGTTTGATTGAAAATCTTACACCTTCACACAGTTTGGACGTAAAATAATTTTTTTAAAAGTAATTTTTTTTTAATAAAAATATTTTTTTATTTTTATTTTTATTTTATCGATGTTTGACAAAGATTTATGTCGAGATTGAGATCGAGTATATCGTTTTCATAAATATTTTGCAGACAACCGAGTACCAAAAAAATAAAAATATATTTTTTAAAAAATATTTTAGACAGCTACCCAGTATAACCCTTAAACGAACGTAACGTTCTGCTTCTTTTTTTCCCGGAAATTCAAGCAATGTATACATGTTTAAAATAATTACAGAAAGGGCTACAGAAGCCAAACAACCCTGCCCAATAGGGCCCAAGGCAAACATGCCATGGCCGAAACAGCGAGGACAAAATAAACATTGGGCCAACCCAAATAAGCATTGAAGGCTCACAAAGGAAGCAAAAATATATCCCGTATCTCTGTTTAGAGCGTAAATATAGAATCTTTAGTTAGCCATTGGTAATGAAGGTCTCCAATCTCACGCGTTACAATTTATTTATTTTATTTTATTTTCTATTTTAGAAAAAGTCACTATACAACTTAAAAAAAAAAAAATTGGAGGAAAGAGAAACAGAAGGAGAGATAAAAGGTAGAAGAGATAAAAACGAGAATTGAGAGAAATAGAAACAGAAAATGTAAATAAAATATTAATATAACAAAAAATATTAATATTAATAATATTAGAACTCCAGCAATATTAATAAGATTACTATTATGGTTGTTGAATACCAGAAAAAAAATTGTTCATTCTTACAGTAGATTAAAAAAAAAAAAAAAAAAAAAAAAAAAAGAAGAGTTTTGTTTGAGCAATTAAGACAGGTAGTCACTCTTAACGACCCTTAATTGTAATGGGTTATCAACTTTTTACCTGTTAGTGATCTGCTCACTTAAAATTTTGTGGATGAATTTGGGCGATTGAAGACTTGAATTGACACCCCTGGTCTCCATTAACAATGGATATACAATCATCCAGTGGACGATGGCAAGAGCTCGGTCGAGAGCTCAACTTATGGTATTCGATGGTCAATAAGAAGGCTTCAAGAGGATTCAGAGTCCTTGAGAATGCCAGTTGATAGCTTGGAGGATATCGAAGAGGTGATCCGATCAAGGACCATGTTTTGAGATGAGGTCTTCCCAGCAAATAATCGATCATTCCTCTCCTTCCATAGATTGTACACAGTTGATGCTAGGGCCATCTTGCAGATCGTGAATTGAGGCTTGTTGGGACTTCCAGTGGTGACTGCCCAATCAATAATTCCACTCCAGGTTGTGATTCCTGTGATCGATTTACATCGTTGTTGGATAAAGTGCCATACAGGGGAAGAAAAAGTTCAAGCAAATAACATGTAAGAATGAGATATCCTATTTGAGGGGCATAATGCCACCGGCTTAGAGTTTCAGCACCACTCTGGCTGCTCTCGTACGGCACCAAGACGTTGTTTCCACTCTCGCAAGTACTTGGTCAGCCTAACTCTCGTGCACACCTTAGCTAACACATTCCCCTCGTGCGCTTACTAGTGTTGTAGTGGCCCTCGCCCTATCTTCACTTGGCTTGCACACTAGCACACACTAAGGCACTTAAGTTAGCAAGAAAAGAACACTTCTATTACTTCAAAGAATACTTTGTACAAGGCTAGCACTCAAACTCTCTACAAGGCTCTCAAGACTCACTCTAAGACTTGTTGGTTGCAAAATGAAGTCCCACTCCTATTTATAGGCATCCCCATCCCTAATGGATGGCTAGGATGCATTCTAACCAACGGTGGAGATTGATTCTTTAGAATCTTCTTCCACCTTCTACACATCTCCATACATATCTACAACATTTTAGAACCCTCCATACTACTCCACACAATTCTGGAGAATTCTAGAACCTTCCACACACTTCTAGAATATACTACACATGTTTAGAATCTTCCACACAACTCTAGACTATTCCTGAAGACTCTAGAAACTCCACTTGCCATGCAGTTGCCATGCAGCGTCCTCCTCAGCGTCTACGTGTCGCCTGCGTGGTACAACCTCCATAGGCGGGGCGTGACATTCTCCCCCACCCATTTCCGTGACGCCCTCGTCACGGTTTCTTCAGCTGACCTAGCCTCTCGCAGGTCATCAGCACTTGCGCATATGTCCTTGGCCCAAACGTACGCGCGCCCTTCGGGAGATGTGAGGTCCTCACGAGCTCCATCGTGTTGATTGCCACCTCTGGACTCTCCTTCCTGCCCACGAGCGGCACCATGCATGCGGCCTTGCCTTCCTCACCTCCAAGTATCATCAACGCACCAAGGCATGGTAGTGGCGCGGCGTTGTTCCTATCCATGAACTCTAGCCCCAGCACCATGTCGTGGTCGTCCATCTCCGCAACCTGGAAGTCGGCCTTGCCCTTCCATCCTTGCATGCATAGCTTCACCTCCTTGCACACTCTACTCACGCGTGCCTCCTCGGAGTTGCCGGCCTTGATCCAGCCCTCCGTCTTGCGCATCTCCAAGCCAAGTCGTTGCGCCTCCTCCAGGGTAATGAAGTTGTGTGTGGCGCCCGTGTCCACCAACGCTTGCACGGCTTTGCCACCAACTTGCGCATCCACATAGCGCACCCCGGCTACCTTCTTCACCTTGCCCTTCTTCTTGGTGTCATGCGTCATGCTACTCAGCATCTGCATAGCCCCCATGTACCTGTCTTCATCGCTGTCCGCATCGTCCTCCGCCTTGCCTTTACCCTTATCCTTCATAAGGGCGCTCATGGTCTTCTTGTTGGGGCAGTGTCGCAATATGTGCGGCCCTTCGCACAAGTAGCACTTCGGCTCCCACTTGCCCTTATCATGGGGCTCCCCTTTGCCACTAGCCTTAGACCTCTCTCCATGGTCCTTGCCCTTATCATGGCGTGGGCGTCTCTCCTCATCGCTGTGCTCATCATCACTTGACTTGGGCGAGCCCCTTTTCTTGAAGCGACGGTCTCCCCCACCTTTGCCGTGGTCCCTCCTAGGAGATGTGGCCCTCTTGTCATCGCGCCTAAAGTCTTCAAGGCGCTCCGCTATAGCCATTGCGGATGCCAAGTCTCTAGGCTCCCTCCTTCTCAGCTCTGTGGCTACCCAAGACTGCAACCCATCAATGAACAAGCACACGCGTTGCCGCTCCGGCATCTCTGGGATCTCCAGCATCAAGTTGGAGTACTCCTTCACATACTCCCTTATGCTGCCCTTCTGCTTCAGGCGCCTTAGGTTGATTATGGCGAGGTCCTCAACGCACTCAAGGTAGAACTGCCTCTTGAGCTGCCTCTTGAACTCCTCCCATGTATCAACTGCTCTTGCGCCCCTACCGGTGAAGCGCTGCCTCCACCATAGAGCGGCGGTGTCTGTGAGGTACATAGTGCCTGTCTGCACCTTCTTCTCATCATCTTCGATCTCCATGCACTCGAAGTACTGCTCCATGTGCCAGAAGAAGTTGTCAATCTAGCGCGCATTCCTTTTCCCATCATACTCCTTGGGCTCCGGCGACTTCTTCTTCCTTGGCTTCACCACGACCTCGCGCGCCTGGGAGAGCTCCTTCTTATACTCGACAATCTCCATACGCAAGTCGTCTACCCGATCATGTAAGTCCCTTTCTTTCTCTTGCGCCTTGTTGGCGATGCCATCAATCAGCTCGTAGAGCTCCGCCATTCTTCTCTCGAGCCTATTAAACTTGGTCTCCGTGTAGACCAAGTGTGTGGCAAGCTTCTCCTCCAAGCTCTGCTCTAAGATGTGGACTTGGTGGTTTCCTCCGCTAGCCATGTCTACTCCAACAAAGCTCCCTTGACGAACCTGGCTCTGATACCAACTGTCACGGGCTTAGAGTTTCAGCACCA